TGGAGAGCGAATCTGGATCGAATGAGACAATGTCGACACGGTTGGTGTACTCTTCGATGAAGCTACCAACGGCAATGCGATTGGGGAAACTGCGAGAAGAGATGGCCATAGCATACAGAGGGTGGGGGGACTCGTAGGTCACCAAGTATTCGGATCTCGAGCCGGAATCTTTCGCCGCGTTCTCCATATTTGAGGATTTCTGGGGAAAGTTGAGGGGAGGACGACGATTAAAAATGGAGACGGAAGGAAGGATTAGGAATGAGATGAGTTTCTAGGAAACGGGGGGTTTCGACTTTCTCGTCAGAAAGTCACATTTGGGCTGCTGCTGCTACTTCAAACTGGTCAAACACAAACACTGAGAATGCGATGTTGATTTAGTCCAAGGTTCCCGCCCAAGAAGATTTGCAGACGTCGCTCTGCTACAATTGGGCTAAGGCCCAAAATGGAAGCCCATTGAGCATTCACGGCCCGGCCCGTCTACAGAATTCTACGCTAATCACATCAAGATACGAGTCTCTCTAACTTATATATGAGGTGAAAGACAGAAATGAAAGGGATTTTGATTTTTTAGCCTGGCATGGCATCTCAAGTGACATGCCACATATTTCACAAGTTAGGAAATGTGGACTGATTTGCAACACGTATGGGTCAAAAGAAAATTTTGAAATTTGAAAGATTGGAAATCTATATAACCCTAAACCAAAAAGTAACAGTAACATCAAAGATTTTGAAATTTTAAGGGTTATGACGGAGCAAAAATAGTTTCTTTGTAACTATACATACTAACCATTTGGTAGAAACAGGAGTAAACTAGTTGAAAAAATATCATTTGCTTTATTATGGTAATTTGAGGTAGTAGATACAAAGGTTTTATGAAGGTAAAAGTTTTAAAAAGTCAATAGTGCAGTAAGTCTAAATTCTAACTTCTAACTAGAATAATATTGGTCTAAACACCGATTAACAACATTTATTTTTATTATTCAAAAAAAATTTAGTGTATTTCTATATGACACTTATTAGATAAGTAAATTTTCAATAATTTAGCGAATAAGGCATTTCTCCGATGGTTTGATTCTCACTTTGGAATATTTTATTTGAGGTTTTTTTTTTAAAAAAAAAAAGAAAAAGTCAGCAAAAGTGATGTTTTTTAGTTAGCATGTGTTATTGTATGAGGTGTAGTAGCTCAGCGTGGTGGGGAATGGGAATGGGATGGTGTGGTGCCAAGCTCATGGGCGGGCTTGCAGTTGCAATGCAATTATTAATTATAGCTCCTGCAACACGGTCGGGTCCCGCCGTCCGGGGACCAACACTCATGACCCACCCATCAAACTCCTCTTTTTCCACCCATTCTCCTTTTTTTTTTTTATATATAAAATATTCTTCTAACCATTTTTTTTTTTTAATGAAAATCATATCGATAAGGTATTGTAAAGATTATAAAAACAAAAATTTTATAAAAAATATTTAGATTAACAAAGTTGAAAATAATTGATATTAATATTATATATCTATGTTAGTGGTATTTTTTATATTTTGTAGATTTTTTTTGTAATATTAGAAAAAATATCAATTTATCCCTCGTATTGATTTTGAATCAATCCGCTTTCCGTATTTTCTTCAATATTACGATGATATCTATCTCTCTCCTCATATTCTCCTTAATATTCTTCCTCACTCTCTCTTTTAATACCTTATCTCACTTATAAAAAAAAAAAAAAAGAAAAAGAAATAGTGTCTCCCTAGTCCCTAGTCGCTCTCTCAAGTCGTGTTCTCCTTTCCGTCTCATCAATGCACCCATTCTTCTCTCTCCTCCACTCCTTCCTCTTTCACATTTTTAGGTCGGTTTATTTCATGAATTGTATTTATAGAACCTCGATTTGGCATTTTTATTTTTTTAAACGGTTTTCATATTCTATAATAAATTCTAAAAATAATATGTTTATGTTTTCAAATTATCTCATATTATAAAATCATTTTCTATTTGGCTAAAATTAAAACATGTAAATTATAGTATATTATAATTTCTATAATATTTTAAAATAATAATTATACAAAAATAATTATAAAAAATTTTAATAAATTAATTAATATTACTTTTAGATTGAACTAATATTTAGTTGACAACTCTCACTAATATACAAAAATATTACTAAACAAACAATCTTTTAAATTAACATTCAATTTTTTTCAAAACTACTGCGAAACACAAATCTAAAAATATTGAAAAAAAAAAAGAATACAGCTCTATTTTTCATTTAATATCTTGATTTCAAATCACCCACTAAACGCTATCCAAGCATAATCAATTGTATAGATTTAAAAATAGTAAAGTAGAAAAATAACACAAAGGAAATATATTTTCATATATAGTATTAAGTTGAAAATTTTATTAAATAGTAAAGTAGAAAAATAACACAAAGGAAATATATTTTCATATATAGTATTAAGTTTAAAATTTTATAAAATAAAATTTTCAAAAAAAAAATTACAAACTTATACAATTATGTGAGCCCACTAGAAATAACAAAATAATTATATTGTTTAAATACATATTTATTTTGTATCGTTTAGTATAACTTCTCATTTTAAAAAATCATTAATAGACAGTCGTTTCTTCTCTAGAAACTTAATAAAATCTCATTTTTATTCATTGTTTTATAAACCCTGTATTTTTTGCTATTATTATTTTATAACTTTTACCACTTCTTTCCTGTCTAAATCCATAACTTTATTTTATTAATTGTCATATAATTTGACCAATCATTTTTCTTCTTATAAAAATAAATGGATTACTTTAATCTTTTTAAGTAATCTTGAACTTTCAAATTCAAATTTAAAGTTTAAGTCTATCTTATGTAGTCAAGATGAACACAGTAATTGACATCAATTGTTTCTGAAGTTCAAACTCTAATATCCCTATTTTTTTTTTACTAAAAATTTTAAAAGGTGCAGTGAATTATAAACTACAAATTTTGTGTATTACAAGTACGTAAATATTAGATAGATCCCTGAATTTTCAATAATTTTGTCTAATAGATCACTAATCTAATCAACATTTCTTAATTCATGAATCAACAAGACATAAAAATACAAGTTAAGGATCCATTAGAATCAAAATTAAATTTTATGTATAATAAATTGATTAATTATAAAAAAACGTTAATAAATCAGGGACCTAATAGAGACATAATTTAATATTTAGAGATATATTAGACATAAAACCAATAATTTAAGAACTTTTTTCGATATATTAAAAAGTAAAGTTAAAAGATCTATTAAATACAATTTTAAAAGTCGGGAACTAAATTTGTAGTTTAACATTTGGATGATGACTCGGAAACTTGAAAGGATAGTTCCGATCAGAGAATGTTCAATTTTATGAACCAAATCTGAGGTCGGAGTCCAATTTGAATTGTTGCTCACTGAAATCTAGAATATCAAAAAAGGAACGAAGAAAGGAAACTTTAACTTGAATACAATAAAAGTGTGTTGTTTTTATTATTAGAAAAAGAGAGAGAGAGAGAGAGAGAGAGAGAGAGAGAGATGGAATTCAACTGGGAAACAACTTCTATGGATGACCTGTTGAAATTGGAAGGGTCAAATAGAATAATATCTGAAATGAGGACAATTTACTGAATAATGTGGGAGGGTGTGTTAATCAAAATCGTCCCATGTGTTATGTGGAACTTGGAAGTGTAATGCAGTGCAGTTGGAGTTTCAGGTAAATTGGGAATTAATTTGATTGGATATGAATTATGATTTATGATGAATATTTTGGGCAGTGAAGTCACTTATCTTCTCTGTGTTCGAGCCTTGTAGTTCCTAGAGAGTAGGGATTGAGCTTAGCTGTTTACAACTCACGACCTCCTCATCATCTACCCATACCATGACGTCCCTTCCATGACGTCACTCCTTAACCATACTTTCTCTATTTTAACTTTAGTACAAATTAAAATACCAACAATCTTCTTCTCTCTCTTATCCCCTCATTCATATTTAGTTTTTAGTTTCTTTTTCGTCTCTGCCAACTAGCAACGACTTGTAGTTTTGATTTGGTCATTGGATATGGGTAACTTGAGATTGTGTTCGTCTTATTATTATTTCATTTTTTAATCAATCTAACAAAAATAAAGAGTGAATGCGGGAGAAAGGGGAGAATTTGAAAGGGTCAAATTAAAGTAAAAGATGGGGCGAGTGAGGTAGTGGAAAATGGAAAGCGGGGTACACCCAGAACGTATTGTCGGGTTAATTTAGTCTTATATGAAGACGAAGACTGACCATGTTTTAATTTATTTTCATGACCGCTGATTGGGACATGGCCGTGTGGGTTGGGACTTGGGAAGGGGACCCAAACAGAAAACTTGGATTGCAACTCTGCCTCTCGCCTCATCCATCTCTTCATTTTCAGAGTTTCCACACCACAACTTCATCCCAAACCCCAGGTGTTAGGTTTATCATTTCATATTCACATATATTTCATTTACTTTTAGCCCTCCAAATTAATTCTTATGTAATACTACTTTTAATTTATTCTATTACTCTTTCACGCCTCTTTCCTTTCCTACCTGTTCAATTACTCCATTTTTTCTAAACTCATATTCATCTTCTTATCTTCCTATCTAATTTTTCTTTTTTGCCATTCTCTAACTGAAACTAAAAAAAAAAAAAAAAAAAATTGAGTTACAATAAAAATTAGTGAGTCTTTAGGGATCCAATTGGAAGTAAATTTTAGGGGCCACAATTATTTTCTAACTATTCTTTATCTGTTTATTTTATATGCCAATCTTTGATTCTCTTTATAGCACGTTAAATAACTACCAACTTACTCTTCGATGATGAAGAAAAGTATCCTTACCGAAATCACATATCAATATTAAGGGTGCGTTTGAGAATGATGATAGAATGCGTGATTTTATAAAAATATCACAATCAAAGTGATATCAAAATTTTAACTTGTCAAATATGATTAATCCATAGAATTTTCTATGATTTTGAGCTTCCCAACCCACTCTAAGAATAGACATTAATGTTGATATTTTGTTGTTCTTTTTTAATTTCACAATTATGGGGATAAATTAAATTATATATATCTAATTTATTTGAGTCGGCTGAATCCGCCAACTGTCTTCAATTCTTGAATCGTGTTTGCTGGAAAATGTATTGTCCGGACAAAAACTAGTATCAAGCAGTTGGAAGCTATGAGACTATGTTAGAAGGTCCCAGGAATCTTCAAAATCCACATGGAATTCCAATTTTTATGGAAACAAATTTGATTGAATTTGGAAAGGTATTTGAATGTGTCATCAAAAGGGATGCAAATCATTTGGCACATGCAATCGCACGTTAAGGACAATGATACTCCGAGTATCTCACGTATCTCCACAATTGTATGATATTGTCCATTTTGGGCATAGCCCGCATGACTTTGTTTTTTGTTTCACCCAAAAGATCTCGTACCAATGGACATAATTGTCTTTCATTCTCTTCCCTAATCAATGTGAAACTTTGTTTGCACTCCTTACAAACCCAACAATCTTCCCCTCGAACAAAATGCCACTTGTATCTTGCTTTGAATATTCATGCACTCATCTACTCCCGGCTGTCAATGATAGCCTACTTCTATCTAGCATTTCTAGATAGATCACTTGCTACACGAACCAACATTGTGAGAACACCTGGTGTCATTCTACTGCATCCTCAATCTCCTCCCTTCGAACAAAGATACCTCATTCTTCCTGTCAGTCTACCCGACTGTGATAGGCTTCCTATCAATCTACCCCGACTTGATAGGGATTGCTCGTCACCCAAGCACAGAGCATGTCATTGCGCTCCCCACTACGAGTAATTTTTGTCCAATTTAGAGATTCATCTACAAGTTCCGTAATGACTATTAGGTTCACCTATCACTCTTGCTCAACCCCAAGGATTCCTCTCCCACACAACTAGGTTTTTCATGGTTCTAATACCACCTGTTAAGGACAATAGTACCCCAAGTATCCCGTGTACCTTCATAATGATATGATATTGTCCACTTTGGACATAGTTCGGACGGCTTTGCTTTTGGTTTCACCCAAAAGACTTTGTACCAATGAAGATAATTGTCCTCTCTTATATATCCATGATCATTCTCTCCTCTAACCAATGTGAGACTTTGTTTGCACTCCTTACAAATCCAACAATCTTTCGAAAAGTGCTAACTCAATGGTTTGGGGTGGTAATTTTTCGATGATCCCTAACGTAGATAAAGGGATCAATTTGCCTTAGATTTCTGTTCGTAGTTTCTTCTTCTCTGTTTTATTTTTTAAAAATAAAAGTGGGCTGAATCCGCAATATAATGTTGACATTATTAGTCTATAAATGGCGGCAAAAGATAATTGATAGGTTTGAAAATGGTAAAAGAAAAGGGATTAAAGTAACACAAGCATGTGTAATTAATAAGTATTATAATACAACTATATCGTACTGAACTTTTTTTTTTATTTTTTTATTTCTGTAAGTCAAAAATCACGGAATTGAAGGATTGCACCTATGACGATTTTTATAAAAATATTAAAATAATCAAAATTTTAATTTTGTCCTAAGTTTAAAAACTTTTTGAACATTTACCTATAATGTATTGATTTTTCTCAATTAACTATTTTCAATAAAAAAGTTTTTCAAATATTTTTAATTGAAAATCAAGTTGTCATTAATTTATTATTTCTAGTAGATTCAGACATGTGCTAACACTATTCTTTTTATTTTTATTTTGTTTAAACAAATGGTGAAAATAGTATAGGGAGAAACATGCTACTTGAATACTAACAAAATATGTGAATATATTAAACAAATGTGATGCATTTAATGGTAGAATATATTATCTTCGTCACATTGTTCGCGAATAACCAATCATCTTCTCTTTATTATTATTTTTTTCTCGTTTTGAATGAGAAATTTGAAACTCAAACTTTTGAGAAAATAAATTATGGTCAGCACTAGTACAAATTTTATTTAAAAAATTGGACTAAATAACTTCTCAAAATTTAATCCTAGACCTAATTTGTCAATCTGAACATAGTATAGACAATACGGTTGTGGAGGTCCATTCAAATCTCACACCGCAGTGAAAATGTTGTATTATCAAAATATATTATTTATTATTTATATATATATATATGTATGCATTGTTGGTGGTGAGGAGTGTGAAGACACAAGTTCGTGGAAGGTGAGGTTGAAGAGTAAGTAAAGGGGGGAAAGCGGAATCAGGATTGAGCCTCTCTCCCACATATCTTTTTTACTTTGGTAGAGCTAATAATTGATGCAGCAGCAGCACCGGATAGATATACAAAAAATAATTAAATGGACATCAAAGTGCTGTCTTCGGGCGTCCGGTACGAGAACTTGCCGGAAAAATATGCGAGGCCGGAATCCGAGAGGCCTCGGCTGTCGGAAGTGAGTGCTTGCGAGAACGTTCCGATCATCGACTTGGGATGCGGCGACAGAAGTAGGGTGGTGCAGGAAGTGGGGGAAGCCTGCAAGTCTTACGGCTTTTTCCAGGTAATTCAATTAATGGGTATTTGTATATAATGGATTGGGTGTTTTAATTAATTAATAATGTTGTGTGGTGAATTAATTGAAGGTTATCAATCACGGAGTGAGGGCAGAAGTAGTGGAGAGAATGATAGAAGTGGGGAATGAGTTCTTTGCGTTGCCGGTGGAGGAGAAGTTGAAACTGTATTCCGACGATCCCTCCAAGACCGTCAGGCTGTCCACAAGCTTCAATGTCCGGAAGGAGCAGTTCCACAACTGGAGGGATTACCTCAGACTCCACTGCCATCCTCTCCATCACTACATCCCTCATTGGCCATCAAACCCTCCTTCCTTCAGGTTACCTCATTTCCCCCCTTTTTTTTTCTTTCTACTTCCTCATTAACACTTTTTTTTTTCCTTTGTTTTACTTTTATTCAACTCAATCAATATATTTTTTTCTATAATATATACTTTAACCCGTTAAATTATATATATTCATAATTTTATATTGATATATATTTTCAAATTCTTAATATAAAATATGTCTGAACTAAATTGTCTGTTTGTCTGAATCTGTTATATTTTTATAAGAATAAATCCGTACATGGAAGTTTCCAACTGTATAAACTGTATATCATATTTTTTAAATGAACCCTCAAAATTCTTTTTTCTTTCTTTTTTAAAAAAGTGAATCATTAGAATATGGAAAAGAATTAAATAAACAAAGGAGGATATGTAGCATAGGGGTATAGGAGGCACTTCCCAACCCTTTTTAGTTTCCCCCTTTCATCTTCTTTCTTATTCCTCCCCTCCACCCAATTTCTCAACCATCTTTCATCAACCTTATCGTTCGACAACCGTAAGTTTGACGGCTGGGATTCTTAGATGATATGATGGTTGTATCTGACGTGGATATATATTATTGGTTCTTTCAATTTCACTCGTACGGCCACACACTTAGAATTCAGAAACGACCTGTTTTTCGTCAAATTTTTGGTGGAGAAGAAATGATAACTGATGAAATACAAAAGAAATGTTGATATTTTGTTATTTTGCAAGAAGAAAAATTGTGAAACAATTGAATTAAAAATAATTGTGGGATTCGTACAACTTGTTCGATCTTGAAGATGAAGGAATCGTTTTCTTTTCATTTTGTGTGTCTATTGAATCATGAATTCGGAAAGAGGATTTCTGATTCAGAATTTGGGGGGAGAAAATGGACAACGACCATTGACTCCGACAGTAGAAATGGGTCCACGTGTATTTGAAAATTCTAATTTTGTGGAGTCCTCTAGGTAAAAAGATAATCTATCAAAATGGACGGCGGTGACGGCACCGCTCTGTAAGTCCTAGCCCATCAAATAATCCATATTTAGTGACGTCATCGTCTGAACCGCGTTGACGTAAGCATCCCTATCATCGAATGGCAAACAATGAAACACGCCATCCTTGATGGATACTGCTATTATTTATTTTATTTTATTCAAGCTTGTTTCGATATCGATTCCCGATTGATACGTTAACCATAATTTAATACTTTTAGGAAAAATGAAAGAAGAATCGTAATGTAATCAATGCCTTTCATTTCAATTTGATGTCATTACGCCTTTTATTCTGTCCCAGATTAATAAAATATGAAGCTTTGATTGGTTTGGAAGAAAAAGAAAAAGGAAATAGTCAAGTTTTGATTTTTAAAGATTGAAAGGGTGGGTGTGATTAGAAAAGTAAAGGTAAAAGTAAAAGTAAAATTGATAGTTGAGAGTTGACAGGGAAATAGTGAGTAATTACTGCGTGGAGGTACGGGAACTTGGGTACAGAATAGAAGAGGTGATATCGGAGAGCCTGGGGCTGGAGAAAGAGTACATAAGGAAGGTGCTGGGGGAGCAGGGGCAGCACATGGCCGTGAATTATTACCCGCCGTGTCCCCAGCCGGAACTCACGTACGGACTCCCGGGCCACACGGATCCCAATGCCCTCACTATTCTACTTCAGGACCTGCACGTTGCGGGACTCCAAGTTCTCAAAGATGGCAACTGGGTGGCTGTCAATCCCCACCCCAATGCCTTTGTCATCAACATTGGCGACCAGCTGCAGGTATCACTCTACACTATACACTCTACACCCATTAATATTTAATTCTATTTATTATTAACATCTTTAAGCCCATGCACAGGCATTGAGCAATGGCGTTTACAAGAGCGTGTGGCACCGGGCGGTTGTTAATGTGGACAAGCCAAGGCTGTCGGTTGCTTCTTTCCTGTGCCCTTACGACGACGCCCTCATCGCCCCCGCCCCACCCCTCACCAACAATCATGCGTCTCCCGCCATATACAGACCCTTCACCTACACCGAGTACTACAACAAGTTTTGGAGCAGAAACTTGGATCAGAACCATTGCTTGGAACTCTTTCAAAATCCTTCTAATTCTAATTAATATCCACTATCTACTTTTTACACGCTTTTCAACCTTCCATTTCCATTTCAATAAAAACTTTATGTTTTAAATCTCTATGTTGTTTCAATTAAATTCCTTTCATACTCAACTTGTAATCTGGGTTATCTCTTGTGAGAGTATATCCATAATTAATTATATTTTACTAGTACCAGGAAGCAATTATCTATAAAACCCCCTTTTTTTTTTTTTTTCATTTCTTCTAGTACAAAACTTGGCCACCCTTATGTTATTGGGCTGCTCCATCACACTTGACCTCATCCAGAGGTCCATGGGCCAAAGGGGGCCTAATCAAGTTATAGTTTGACTAGGTCAACTTGATAACTCATCCTTCATATATTATAGAATTATAGTGAATAAAAGAATTAGAAAAACTAAAAGAATAAGAGAGAATTTATAACTTGAATAATTTTATAGGAACAAAAAATGGACAGAAAATATTAATCTATCAAATCTTAATAAAATTTTATTTTTAAAAACTGTTAAAATATTTTAGAAAGTTGATATATAATAAATCGATTCAAAATTTAAATAAATAAATGAGTACGCTTTACACATGGGCTTGCTTATTAGAGGTTGGGTTGGCCCAACCAAGCCCATGTGTAACTTAGCTATAGACAAATTCCTATTTAATTAAGCATTCCTTTCATGAGACAGTGTGGAAAATATTGTATTGTATGTGCATTTAAGTTGGAAGAATTTTAGAGCAAAATCAAATGGTGTAGCTAAAAGAGCCGCACATTCATTATTCAATTAAATTAGCACTCAAGTTTTAGTCATCTTATAGGCCATAAAAGTTTGAAAGAAAGGGATTGAGATTGCCACTCTTCATCGTCTCGTCTGCATCATAAAGCATGAGAACCAGCAACAACTCAACTATTGAATTGAAGCTTGTTTGAGAAACCAGGTGAAACCTGGAAGGAGTAACGAAATCAAGAGAAGGTGACCAAAGATTATTAATGGGATTGGTTTTATAGCAGAGATTAGAGGAATCTATATTCTATGGTGCCAATCTGCCATTATGTTTGGTCATGAACCGGAATCACACAAGTTATAGAGCAGTCCGAAAGATTAGTTATTGCAAACAGTAGAAAAGCAAAACCCAAAAGATGAGGGAGGTAGGCGTATAAACTAAACTAAACAGTCTTGAGAAATTCCATGACATAAGTGTTGAAAGCACAGCAGTGGAGGTTGAAGCCCTGAAATCCAGCGGCGTTGGCCAATTCGTGGAATTCCTTCTGGGTTCTCTCTTTTCCTCCGGGGTTGTGAGCCAGCATTATGACATCGATGTGAACGACTCCCTTGGTGGCGAGGCTGGTGTCTGGTTCCACGGGGAGAATGCATTCGGCCACGATCACCTTGCCATGCTCCGGCAGCGCGTCGTGGCAATTCTTCAACAGCTTCAAGCAGTGCTGGTCACTCCAATCGTGACAGATCCACTGCCACGGTTCAAAATTAATCATGGAGTTAATTAATTAATTAAGAACAAGAAGTAAGTGAATAAAATACCTTCATGAAAATAGCATCCCCCTTTGGGACGCTCACAAACATGTCGCCCCCAAGGTGCTGGACCCCTGGGTATGGAGGAGCGTCCTGAATGACGTGAGGCAAGTCGAAGTTGATGCCCCTAATAGAAGGGTACCTTGAAACGATCATGTTCAGAACAGCTCCGGTTCCACCGCCCACGTCCACCACCGAAGAAACCCCTTCGAACCCTTTGTAGCTCTCCAGAATCTTCTTCATGGTGATGCTCGAATGCTCCGACATTCCCCTGTTGAACACCTTGTTGAATCTGGGATCGGTTCCATGGTAATCGAACGCCGTCATTCCGTATGCTCTGTTGAACGGAATCCCTCCTTCCACTACTGCATCCTTCAAATGGTACCTTCATATTTCATTCAGAAACACACACCAATTAGAAGTGTCTCTGTCTAAGCATTAATGGAGAGGAAATTACAGAGCACAACTTCCTAACCACACATTTTCATACTATCGTATGAATGGGTGTTTTGATTTTTAAAGTCTTTCTACAATTTAGTCAAATTTGGATGTCTAAGATTGACCGTCTTCATATAAAAACATGGAGGTTTTATAACTTTGCACAAATAACATTACTCCTAAAAATACTAGTCCGAATATAACTTAAAAGATCTTAAACTAGGATCACCATAGTGATTTGATTAGAATGGATGGATGGAAAGAGAAGGGGAATCCGAATCACAATTACCAGCTCTCCATGAGGACCTTGTCCTGATTCATGAGACAAAGCGGGGCAATAGAGACGCCATCTTGGTTGTTGGTCAAGAACTTGCAGACAGGGGCGAGGCCGTAGAGCCTCTGGGGTGTGCCATCGGGGTGGGTTCTGAGGGAGCAGGTGAGGATGGAGTAGCTGGCGAGGAGGCGCAAGATGCGGTCCAGTGCGACATCCGCGTGAGGGTTTGTGACCGCCGGAAGCTGAGCGGCGATTTGGGAGGGGGAGAGCAGAGCCCCGGGCCCAGCTCTGGCTACGATCTCAAGCACGTCCAGCTCAATGGCGGCCTTCAGCACCATCGGAAGAACCGAGGCGCTGGCCAATTGCATCGCGAACAGGTGGGCTTCCTCGTCGCTAACTTGGGTCGGGGTGATCTGCGTCTGGGTTTGGGCGGCGGTGGAGCCCATTTTCACCCAAATGCAAGTGCTCTGCTGCAACTGCTTAATGGTAATGGTAATGGTAGCTGTAACTGGCAATGCGTTTTCTTATAGTGAATTGATTTGCAGTGGAGGGAGGAATGGCACATCACCCACCAACCGCACTCGCCCCCACAACCTCACACTTGTCTTCTCATGGTAGGATGCCCAATTCCAAACTAAGTTGGTGAGTGGGTCCTCTGCATATGACCTCGAATCTTATTGACCTGCCCACCATGCCTCCTCATAGCATACTAATTAAGCTTTCATAATTTCATTCTCAATTTCATATTTTTTTTTTTATCAAGGATAAGAAACCTGAATTACTTTGTTCCTTGTCAATTAATTTTGTGAGGTAACTCTATAATTATCTCCACCCCTTCATAGGTCTCATATCCAATCCTTGTTTTTATATTTTCACTGGACGTTTATAAACATTCATTCTCAAAGTTCAACCCATCTTTTTGTTGCCACACGCACAAGTTTATGTACCTGTGTATTTCCTATTTCTCAATTTTAACTTTTTTAGGAGCTGTGTAATGTGTTTGGTTGAGATTAAAAGATAATAAGGTAAATTACAAATTTAACCCCCAAACATTTAGGTTCAACTTAATTTTGTGTCTAATTATGTCCCAAATTTTGAAAAGTATTTGATTCATTCTAACTTTCAATTTTGTATTTAATAAATTTTTGACCCAATCAACAATTTTTTTAAATTTTAAAATTAATTAAGCTTAAAAATCCAAAGTGTAAGGTAGTACTCTACAATAAATTCAATTTTATGTATAATAGATTCATTAAATTTAAAAAATTAAATATGTTAGGAGTTATATTAAAACCAAAATTGAAAGTTTAAAGATCTACCCGGCATTATTAAATTCATAGAGTTATTAAATAGAAATAGAAAGGAAAAGGTTCATGCACTAAACTTTTAATTTAATCCACATTTTATAAGCCTTAAAAAGAGTTGGTTATATGTCTTTCTTGAGAGTTCTGATGTAGAAATTAGGTTAATTGAAGTCGAAGAAAACGTACCTTTTGGACAAAATAAGTGTCCAGACTCGGAACCCATCTTTTTGACAATTCATATTGGCATGGCATTGAATTTATTCCATATCTACAACACAGAGTTAAAAAAGAAAAATAGGAAAAAAAAAACAATTGAAAATACATTATTAATCATTGATTAATAGTTTTAATTTGTTTATATACAGTTTAATTCATCTTATTTTAATTTTTTTAATTATCCAAGAGTTGGTGACCTTTGACTTTTATGTCTCTTATTTTAATGATTCATACCATTTAATTAGTTGATCTTAAAAAATTGATTGGCTACATTAATGTTCCTGATATGTTTATCTCTATTTATTAAATTTGTCATCACTTATTAATAATATGATAAGTATATTGTTGAAATCAATATTAAGGTTTTTATAACTCAATTCATTTTCCAAATACGACATGTTGGTGGAGATTCGAACTCATGACTTTTTGGACGGAGATAGATGTCTAAATCAATTGAACTATGCTCAAGATTCAAATATTGATTATTTTTTGTAATAACTGGTCTTTATATTATGACTTAATGTGAAGGGTGTGGTTAAGATTAATAAGAGAGTAAGAGTTCTAAAAAATAGTTTATTTTGATAGAATCTTTTGTTGGAAATGAGAATTATTGAAAGTGTGACAAGAAGTATGGGAAGAGGAAACATCAAGAATGAATGAATAAATACATTATCCGAACCAGTGTCAAACTTAATAAAAACAAATATATGCACATTTAAAAATTAAAATTCTAAGTTTTTCCGTGATAGAATTCAAATATGGAATTTTCATTTTAGTAGGGTGCGGGATTTGGTGCAGTGGGATGGTTTACCATCTCGCCTAACCTAACCAGCTTGCCAACTTACCTGTATAAAGAAAGAATAATCAATGTAGGACTAGGAGTAGTTACCACTTAGCACGACTTTTATTTTAATTGGGCCATTTTGGTATATGGGCCAAGGCTGGAATGTTGGCGGGCCGTGGCAGTAAGTAAGTAGTAGTAAGTAGGTCGAGAGTGAAAATAATATAAAATAGGTTAAAAAATACAAGTAGAAGAGCAGAGGTGATCGTGAAATGAGTGGGTCGAAAGTGAAAGGGCGAGAGAGAGAGATGATAAATGGTAGAATGCAAGTAGGGGAGCATCATTCCCCCCTCCGATCTATTTTGTGCGTAAAAAATGTCGTGGATTTGAAGCGTTTCGACGAGAGGGAGGATTGTTACGTGTTAGACTTTGACCCCTTCCACTCCCCCGACCCCTCAATTTCCAAGGACACTGACTCTGAACTTTCCATTGTGGGGGAGAAGGGTCAGGTATTCACCCTTGTCTTTGTTTCTTTGTGTTTTCCTTTCTGAAACAATAAAATAAACGTTTTTATATAGTTTGGACTTTCAGACTCTGGCTTTTTGCTTATGGTAGGTGGCCTGTAGAGACTACCCACACGCTAGGTATTTGTGTGTCAAATTCCCCTTCGACACAACCCCTCACCAGAGTTGCTGCACGATGGTAAGAAAATTTTATTCTTTTGAAAATGTGTTGTGTTAATTGGGATGGTGAAAACTGATATCAGAAATGTGTTGAATGCAGTGTTTCTGTTACGTGTGTGATTCGAGAGCACCATGCGACCACTGGTCGTTCCATTGCAGTGCTTCGCATACCAATCCACTCTGGGAATACTCAAGGCACTACTACAACAACAACATCAACATGCCTTCCACTCTGCATTAGCTTTTTTTGTTTTACTCCCTTCCCCCCTTCCCTTCCACAATCACACACATCACTTTCCACCAACTTCCCCGGGTTGTCTTGTACATCTTTACCTTTCGTTGCAATATAAACTATCCTCTATTTTCATTGAAATCACTATCTTTTTCCCCTTTTATCACTTTTGCCGCCTTCCATCATACCAATTATATATTATATTCAATTCTTGTGAATCCATTTCCATGTATTAGTATTATGTTCAACATCCAAACTAAACACTAATATTCATTTCCTCCCTCCTGCAGCTTCAATCCTCCCTCTTCGTCTGGTTTTAGTTTGTGAATCGTCTTTTATGACTTGGTGATCAATAACAAACGCTTGCAGTTGCCCAAGTCAAGTAATTTCAAAAAGGATATATGATTTATAAGCTGTGCTGCACAACGAGGACGATCTAGACAGAACAATAAAAATGGCTCCTTCAATAGTAAGATTACATGAGCAAATGTACTAATCAAAATATTTCGTTCCTATAGAAGCATGTACAATCATGTACACAAGGGATGATTGTTATAGTACTGTACCGATTCTTATAGTACTGCTCCGGAGCTGCAGAGAATCTGAGTCAAACAGACAGTTCATTCAAACATTCAACAGAAATCAAAAAGTATAATGGAGGCATTTACAAAAGGTTCATTACAAGCAGCCAATACCATACAACACTCAGTCACCCCCAAAGAACATGTTCCCAGTCCGATGAGGACCCATCAGAACCACCACCAAGATGCTTGCCCTCAACATGCCTTCTACTTTCCTTCCCGTTCCTAGTTAAGTTGTCTTTTGCACTGACACCGGGAGGAGGTTCCATTTCAACGCTCAAACCTCCTCCTCTCATTCTGGACCAATAATCTCTCTTGCTCGCACCATCATACTGGTACGCTACCTCGACCTCCTCTAATTGTTCTCCAGCAGCGGTCGAGCTTATGTTGTTTCCACGACTCCTAAGGACATCCAATCTGGCCATTACTGAAGCATCTAAATTATCAACATCTTTTCCATCGTTATCTGCAACAGGATGATGTTTCATTGAGACACCTATAGCATCCGTATCCCTTTTAGCTGCTACTACCTCATCGATGTTATTGGAATTGGAGCTTACCTTTCCGGATACACAACTTATGCACTCATCTCGAGATTTCAGAACTTGAAATCTGGACATGACATCATCATCTACATGGTTGCTCCAACTCAAGGTGGGGGAAGCGGGTGGAAGAGCAGGCCCAGACTCATTCTTTGAGGTGGGGAAGGGAAAATCCATGTCTTTGATATATGGGACTGCAGGTCGTTTTTTGTCTTTTTCAACCATGTCTTGTTCAACAGAAACCTTAAAATCAGATAGTGTTCCTGAATTTTCAGCATCCCTAAGTTTTGCTTCATCATCTCGGCATTTGAGAATATGGAATCTAGTCATCACATCCCCTGCTGCCTGACTAAATACACTTGCAACAGGAGAAGTCTTGATGGAAGCATGTGGCTCTGAACCAACTTTAGTCTTGGATGTATCAGGAACAGGTAGCTCATCCTGATTTTGGGCATTTTCTGGCATAAAAATTAATCTAAGGTGAACTTTAAGCCGACAGGCGAAAACAAAAATGCCGTACGGGAAAAGTTGTAAAATCAAAACTTACTTATCACTTTTGGTGGTTCATGTTTCTCCATTTCCAACTTTGCACTATTAAAACGAGCTCTTAAATTGGAGGCACATAATGCAGCTTCTGCCTCAAGCCATAGGTTCTTGTACACGAGAGTTTGAGGATTTTCTCCTTCTTCATCACGAAAGTTTTCACACAGAACCTTCTTGAGAGCCTAAAAAATGTGATAATGATGTGAGTTGATATCATTCTTTGTATGTTGCCAGAGGTCAATTTATCTCGGCACGCTTCCACTAAACAGAGAACGATTTGCCATTGTCACCCTAATAGATACCTTACCTGGGTTATGCTATCTTCTTTCATCGGGTCAAGGCCATTCCTCAGATAAGGAGAGTCAGCATCTTCTTTGTCTTTTTTGACGGACAATATGTATTGATTCTTTTTCTCGATGCCATTCCGATTTTTTAATGAACACTCTAAATTTGCACCTTCAGTCCTTTTCATATAGGATTTGAGCACTCCCACCTCCTGGAAATGCCGATAAAAAAGTATATTATATAATCATAGTTTGCATTGCTACATTGCAGTGAATCCTTAAGCATTGTCAAAGGTTATAGACAGACTAAACGAAATAGCTCTCCAAAAATAAAACAAATAGTGGGGAGGCATACACTAGGTTGATATATTGTAAATGACTTAATAAAGGAAGAAAGGGAGAAAGAGTAAACATAATATCAAAATGAAGAATTACTAAATGCTATACTAAATTGAAAAATCACAAGGCAACCCAATCGCAGATGACAAACTAAAAATCCTGCGTCTCAAACTACCCCAAGTCATAGCATTCACACCTACCTCAAACTTCTGCCACCACTCTCAAAAGAATGAGAAACTTATTAAAATATAAGGATAACATGAACTTTCGATGAGGAATCCACAGTAATAAATTAAAACCAAACAAACTATTTCGTTCATCTAGTATCAGCAAGAAGAAAGTAATATCCTTCAAAGGTTTATCTTTGTTGGAATTAAGGAATTAGATACATATCAATCTAGCAAAAGATTGCAAAAAAGTTGGAAGGTTATTTTTAAATGATGAGTATATAAATAATCAACGAGAACCTAACCTATATAGGATGTTACGTTGTATGAGCACACTGTGATATCTTTGCATTTTTCCATTCTTTTTAACAGAAAAATGATAACCCTGCTACTAGATTTTCATCCGTTGGTTTTTTAATTTATTCACTTCCTGAACTTAACGGAGAAGAAAGTAGACATAGTAAACATAACATACTGAATGAAGCTGATGAAACTGTCCAAGGTTTTGTGAAGCCATTTCCTCAGGTGAGAGAGAACCTTGTGGTCGAACGCTATTTATACACGTATCAAGGTTACTCATCACAGTCTCAAGGGACTCGACATTTTTTTGGTGCAATGCATCCAACCCATTTGAACAATATGAAAGGAGCAACTCTGATAGACTATGCAATTTATCAACCAGAATCTGAACATCTATTTTCGAGACCGATTCTTCATGATATTCTTTTGCTAGCTCAGAAGGCAAATTCTGGACATGTTCTGCAGCATCACGTGACGTATGATTCAAACCATCTTCAGAGGAGTTGCCACTATTTAATTTTGCATCTGCATGCTTTTCCATGCAACTTGTAGGTGCAATCCTTATTCCGGACATGAAATTATACTTAAAATTATTTTCTGGCGTGCAACAGGAAGAATCGCACTCACCACCATCTACCACTGGTTTCTGGATGCTATTGATGGCTGGATGGAAGCAGCTCATTTTTGAATAAAAATCTCCTACTTTCCCAGAATCAATAGTTTTATGTTCTGCAAGCAAGGAACAAGCAACTGAAGGCATCTTTGGAGAAGATGTTGCACCTTTCTCCAGACGGCTACCTATGGTGCTTTCATTTGGTTCATGAACGAAGACTTTCACGGTATCCTCAGCAGTAGAAGTGGGTACTTGAGGCAATGGGAGATTCACGCTATTGCAAACTTCTACTTTCTTCACACGACTTGGGTTAACAATCTCAAAAGCTTGAAAAGGAGAAATACGACTAACTGGAGCACCTTTCCAGCAAGGTGAGTCTACTGCTGAAAGGTTGTACTGATCAAAACTTTCGGAGGAGCTTTCAATTGCCTTAGCAGTTTCAATAGTTTTAAGGTCCAAACTAAAATGGGGACTGGCATCAGGAATATGAAGCCCCATTCCAGTCTTCAATATACGATCTGGTGAATCCTTAGCAGCATGTATATTATTTGGTAAGTTGTGAATTTTTGTTAATGAGGACTCGGTAACTACAGGATCATTTTTATCTATACATGTGCCATGGTTCTCTGTACTAAAGAATGCTTTGCTTTCAGAATTAACCGGAAGGAACTCCTTTCCAGTCGAAAGGTCATTGCCACCAAGTTTTTCTTCAGAGGAATCATATCCATAATCTGAAATATTACATGGACCGATGTTCCAAACAAAAGAATCAGTGCTGACAACAGGTGGTCTGATGGAAAAAGTAGCAGGAGAATTGACAATTGTTGTAGTCACACTTAGTCTATCATCTTGCTCTGTCAATATTTCTTGATATGGAGCATTTTTTAGGAATTGACAGTTGTTCTGAGAACTTGTAGCGAGATTCAAAGGTAGTGTCCTAGTTTTAGGGTGACATCCTGGAAATGCAGAATGAGCATCTATGTTAGATGTTCTTGAATTCTTAACCGGCTCAATGTTAAGGTTACGCTCCAATAATAATTCTGCATTTGGACATTCTCTTACAAGCTCGTTGAATTTATTCCGATCAAGCATATCAATAGAATTTAAAGCCTCTTCAACTGATCTCTCAGAGCCTCTAGATCCACAAGTGGTGGATGGGGGCTCGTCGAATGTAGCAACATGGGAGTTAGATAGCCGATCATAACTTGGATGATCAACGATCACCGTAGGGCAACCTTTGTTACATGAAGTCGAGGCATAGGAAGGATAGTAGGGTTTTGCTTTGCCAATACTGGTTATTAGACCGCCAGAGGTCTCACCATACAAGGAGGCGTCAGTTGAGGACATCGTAAAACAACCGAAAAGAGGTCCACGGTTATCAGCAGGCTCCATAGCCTGCGACCTTGGGTATTTAGACCCACTAGATAAGGGTAACCAATCAAATTCGGAGCTGGGGTTGAGAAAGAAATCAAGTCCTGAGGTTTGGGAGCTGGAAGGGTGCCAATTCAGGGGAACCCCAACCCCAAACGATGGTTCTGTCATATCAACAAGTGGGGTTGAAATAGGTCTGGTAACCAAACGTTCAAGAGTAAAAGGGGGCGCCAAAGGTGATAAATTGGAAAAGGATGATGAAGATCCTCCATTACCGATACCAGTACCAACAGAAGCAAAACCCATGTTCATATTGTAGAAGAGGAGCAAGCTAATTGGTGAAATCGACGAGTTATTAGACCAAATCAACCAAAAGAAGATAGAACATCACCAGTCCATAAGAGTCGCATTCAAGATTCCTACATACAAAGAACCAGAAAGAACGGTATAAATCGCAAAAGTAGAGATTTTTTTTTTAGGGAAATGAAACAAGGACGATGTGGAAACCGTGGCGCAGAAATTAAAAAGAAGAAGAAGAAGAAGGAAGAAATAAGCAGAACCAGAATGGTGAAGTGGAGCAGGGGATGAAGTAAGAGGTGGCAGTGCGGTGTCCTCTTCCACCTTCTCAGGGACGGAAACTAGAAAATCTCTGTGTTCTCTTCTCGCAATTGCCATCCAACTCTCTTCCTCTGCCTCTGCCTCGAAATTGGAATAGAATTTTCGGTCGTTCCGTTATTTTACTTTTTGGCCCCTAACTTTATCCCCTATTTCCTTTCTACCTCCTCTTTAACAAAATCAAAATTCCTTATTTCTACCCATACCCGACTGGATTAATCCGTTTATAATTTTAAAAAATTGACTCTGTATCCGTTTTTTTAGTACAATGTTTGGGTATTTCTAATATCTAACAAAAATATTTGTCAATGGCAGCAACTTTTTAATTTTGAAATATGCTAAACATTTTTTTAATTATATTACAAAATTCATTTACCTCAATTTAATTTGCGATATATTTTATATTAGGTATAAATAATTGATCTATTGTATATAAATTATATTACTGATATAGATAATACACCTAATATAAAGTATATCAGTGACACTAGATATTTGAATATTGTATATCACCAATAAAAAGTTTTCGAATCGAAGATTTTAGTATAAGTAATATTGTAGTTTTCTTAACCATTATGGATGACTCATTGAACCAAAAGAACTGGGATAAATTGGGAGGGAATATGTTTAAATCTTATGATTGCCACCTATACGAATTAATTCCTAATGATAAGTATATAAATTATATATATATTTCATATTAGGTATGTCACTTTGATATGCATTATATTATATATATATATATAGCTAACGTATCCAACATTAAATATATCATTGATATTAATTATGCTAGTCGGGTAAGATATATCAATATGAGGGGTATAATTAACTTTAGAAAAAATGAAGGTTGAAACTCAAGTTTTTGCTATATTTAGAAATTAGTAGAGATATTTGAATGAGAGATTTTCAGTGTCTTGATATTATAACTAACTACACCACAACACCACGTAATAGAGAAGGTCAGCTACATAAATTGATTAAACATATTAAATCACAGTGAACTTAGTTCTTTTGAGCCATAGATTAGAATAAACTTAATCATTTATTAATACAAATTTAAATCACTATTAAACTCAAAAGTTTAACTAGATGGATAATGAAAATTTTAATTATTTATAAAATATGTAAAAAAAAAAGAATTAATCTGGTCTCTAACTACCTCTTTTTTTTCGATGGTTGATATAAGTTTAAGATTGTGCAGGTCGTTCGTTCTCAACTTGATAATTTTGGTAGTGCTGTAAATCGATCTGGAGTAATTATAATTAATTAATGAGTTGAAGTGAAGAGTAAGAGTAGTAAAAGAATAGATTGAAACTATAATCCCCATGTGTTGGAAGATGGGCAAAGAAGGGGAAGGATTGATGAGCAATAGCATGTAGAAGACTGTAGAGTAGTGCAGACTAGAAATAAATTAGAAATTAGAAAAGAAACATATATATAGGTAGCTGGTAGCTATATGCTCCTCCGGAAGGAGTATGATCTGGGTGTGGTGAGATTGAGGACCTTCTTGCACGCTAGTTTCAAGCTAAGGGAACGAACGGCAAAACGAGGCCTGAAGCTCAGAGGAGGAGCTGGAGGAGGGACTACTGGGCCGCTGTTGTCAGCTTCTTGTTCTGTTTCGTGGTTCCAGAACCGAGCCGCTTTTCTCTTGCTCCTCACAGTGCTCAGCACTTGGTATTTGTTGCATATTCCCCACACCGTCACTTTCTGCTGATTGCAATCCACATTAACTGAATATATCCCTGCAATATGCAATGTGAAATTCAATGCCCATCCCATTTCCCCTTGGCCCTTAATTCCCCTTTAAGTTTTAAGTTTTAAGTTGACCTTTGAGATGGGAGAGCGCCTTGTGGACCTTGTTGGCGCAACCGTGAGAGTAAAGGGGAACCATCATCTCCACCAACTGCGGCTCCACATTATATGAATATCTGGTGTCGGCTGGAACTATGTGCAACTTAGCCATATGCATAGATTTCTGTGGCCACCTCTGGAGCTAGCTAGCAGTGAGCAGAGTGATTAGTGATTAGTGATTAGATTAGAGGGGTTAAATAGCGCAGCGGCACCCCATGCCCATTGGTTCGATTAGCTTTGGAAAAGTGGTCAGCTTTAGGCTTTATGTATGGGAATTGGATGACGAGGAACGTATTGCAGAGTGACAGGACAGTGATCCAGTTGGAAGAGTGGAAAGCAGCGTCACCCTCTCCCTTTTGGGAATTCAATTATCTCCTCCCACTGCAATCCCCTCACTTCTGTTTCTGTACACAGTTACTGCTGTTAGTGTTACAAATCAAAAGATGGTGATCACCGTCCTAATCCTACGTTGGAACTTGGAACTTGGAACGGACGCTTGATTTAAATTATATATAATACACAGAAACCAATTAAGAGAGCAGCATCCAATGCATCTTTTCTTACCACAATAACCAAAAAAGCCAAAATCAGGACGAGCCAGAACATGAACACGTGGCCGCCATTAACCTTTTGATGTTGTCATACAAACTAAAATTCGTATTTTTAAGTATTAGGACAGTGGTGAGTGGAGTGTGACGTGGATTTCTTTCTCCAAACTCGAAACTCTACATACTGTTTATTTTTTGGTTTACTACCTAACCTCCCCAACTTCTTTCATTTTCAACACTAATTGCATGCTCCATCTACTTTAACCACTTCTCATTTCCTCGTTATTTCAAATTAAACCACCAGTTTAGATCCAATCTCATTAATTCCACTTCCACATTAACAAAATAATTATATCATACAATCATTCTTAAACATTCACCCTTATATTCTAAATTCAGATCTTTTTTATTTTTTCTTTATACTTTTGATCAATCATTTCCATTTTTAAGTAGAATAATATTCATTCTTATTCCTTTTCTTTTCCAATTTACTCAAATTATTATTTCAATTCTATACTCTCCTAGTACCTCTATATATATATATATATATTTTGTATTGTTTAAAGAATTGATTGGGAAGATCTATGCTTGGGCATCACATGCCACAGCTATTGAACTAATGAGATCGATAAAATTAATTAAATATGTATAAGATGAACAATCACATGCATTTAGAGCTGATGGTATATGAATATAAAATTGTATAACATAAGAGAGACATAATTAAGGTAAGGAACAGGGGTGAAGAAGATGAGTATACAATACAATACATTTGATTTGTAAATTTATAATAGAGAGTGGAACCGGGAATTTATAGGATGCAACAAGCATTGGGATTCTCATCGCTGAATAGCTGAGGGGGTGGAATTCGTTCGATAATGTAAAGTGGCTGATATTGATAATATCGATACATCATCCTCTTCATGTTTTCGTGATCTTCCATGCCCGAACCCATCATCTTATTATTATCCATAATCTGGTTCTGATTCTGGTTATCTGCTTCTCCACTACCCTCCGCCGCCGCGTGATCCACACATGCTTTCACCTCGCCCTGTTGTTCCCCTGTCCCTGTCGTCGTGGTTTCCGCTTTTGGTTCTTCTAATATTTCCTTCTTTGTCTCGGGGCCCGCCGCCTCTTCTGCCTTAGTCGTCTCTGGTGCCTCTTCTTTCTTCACTTGCTCAACTAATTTAGGTGCTTCTTCTGGTGGCGGTG